AAGCTGACGGAGGTCCGCCCAGCATGGATGTGGTCGTGGCTGCGGACGGCGGTCAATGGCTGGACGACCTCGCGTCGCATGAGCGCCGTCATCGACGCTCGCCAGTGCATCTTCGGCTGCGACGGAGAGGACGCACTTGAGCACTACGTCCTCTGTCCGGTCCTGAGGGCGATGGCCGCGGGCGAAGGGGGAGCCGACGCCATTGGCAGTGGCCTGGAGCTCCTCGGCCTCGGAGACGAGCAGTGCCACTCGAAGCGGTCCATCGTTGACTGCATCTTCACCATCGGCCTCATGTGCCAGTGCTACCACATCCAGAAGAACAGGATGGACGTGGGCCTGGCCGTGGGCGTCGACCAGCGGGCCTCCGTGAGGTTGGCCGCGCTCCATCGCATGCAGGCTTAGGCGTGGTTGAAGCCCAACCGGCCCGCCGAGCTTCGTGCCCTCCTCCTCCTCCTCCTCCTCCTCCTCCTCCTCCTCCTCCTCCTCCTCCTCTCCTTCGCTCCCGATTCCAAAGGATCTGGGACTCTGTGTCCTGCCTGTGCCCATCGGCTGGTCGTGATTCGAGTATCTGGGACTCTGTGTCCCCCCTGTACCCATCGGCTGGACGTGACTCAAGGATCTGGTACTCTGTATCCCCCCTGTACTTACCTGCGATGCATTGGTGCGCCAGCGGCGTGCGTGACACGCCCGCGCTGGGGCCTCGGGTCTTACCTGTGCGCATTGGGGCGTGTCCCCAAGTGTGCACCTCGGTGCGCGCTGGCGGGGCTCCGGCTGGCGTGGGACGCTGGCCTCTCTCCTCCCTGTTCGCTTTTTCCCTCCCCGCTCGCTTTCCCCCCCTCCCATGGCGGCGGCGCCCGGCGCAGCGCGGCTCCGGCCCGGTGCTGGCACTGCACCTTGCCGCCTCGGCGGCCCCGCTCTCCTTGGGCAGCGCGGCTCAGGCCCGGCCTACGGCAGGCGGACACAGTCGGCTTTCTGGCCGAACCCTCTTGGCTGCTACCTGGACGTGGATTGGACTACCACGCCAGGCCGCTACCGACCACCCGGTGGCGCAACGTTGCACATCGCCTTCGTGGTCTTCCTCATCTCCTGGGCCTCTCCTTACCAGTCGGTGGCACCTGGTGCAATTCGCCTACCTGGTCTTCCTCTACATCGCGGGCGTTGACCTGGTCACGGCCCTCCCCACGCAGCATTCGAGGGTGGTGATTCTGGCGCGCCGTTGACGGCAACACCACTTCGCTCTCCCTCTGGGACTTCGCCCCCGGCTCCTGTCCAAGGCGTACCTTTTCCTGTGCGAGCTCTTCGGCGCCGCCTGTGCTCTCCGCACCCTCCGGCCGCCTGAGGCCCCGCCCGCCCGCGCCCCGTCTCCCCAATTAGTGCTTCGCGCGCCCCGCCTAGCTCTTAACCGGAAGAGGCCCGCTCTCGACCCGCCGACCAAAAAAGTGCCGTGCGGCCAATCACCCTGCCATCGCAGCGTCGAGCAGGAACGCGCTCGGCGTATTGGAGCAGCACTGCGAAACTCTCGGTCGATGGAGTCGAGCCTATCGACCTCTGCGTCGTTTCCGTATCCGTAACCGCGGGCTCGTGGCCGGGACCCTGGGGTCCCAACCCCGCAGACGCGGGGCGTGTTGTCGCGGATGCCCAGCGCGGAACGCATCTGTGCGACCGTTTTTTTTCTCAGCGGGATCGCGCCCCGGAATCTGGACCGCGAGGGCGTGGATGTGGATGCGTTCGTCGCTCGTGGTGGAGGTCGGCGGTTCGAAGGCTGGGCCCCTCGCGGCGTCAAAAACCACAGGGCGGAAGGTCTTGGCCCGTTTTCGGCCTCTGGGGGCCCTCGCCCGGCCTCGGGGCCGTCAAACACCCGATTCGGGATGAAAAGTCAGTCCCTGCGGATGGGCGAAGATTTTGATGGAAAATCATGGCGCTGGGGGTCTGGGCATAGGGATGGGGATTCCGAGCTGAACCTTCATTGTCTGAGGCCGCTTGTCCCCAGGGCCCAATCCTTCCGGGCTCAGCTTTCGAGCTGCTGGGGAGGGGGCGGTGGCCCCGAGAGGCGCGCCGCAGGGCCCGTGGCACGGGCGGGTCGGCGCGGTCTCGGGCCCCCCCTTGACCGGGGGCAGAGCTCCCAGACACGCTCGCGTCGTGGTGCACCGCGGTGCTGAGCCACGCCGCGGGTGTATCCACGGCAGGTGATTGCACCGCGGTGGTGAGCTACACTGCCTCCACCTTCGTTGGCTCCTCGTGGGGCGGGGGGAAGAGGGGTCACGGCTTAGCGCAGGCTAAGCTTATGCGGAGTAACTTCATACGGAGTGCTCGTTCTCCGCATGGACTGAGTCGGACTTGGCCTCTCCAGACAGGAGGCTAAGCCCAGACGGAGTAAAACCATACGGAGTGCTCGCTCTCCGTACGGACTTCACTACTCCGTCTGGACTTGGCCTCTCCCGAAGGGGGGGATCCCACGGCGACCGTTAGGGCGGGAGAGGCACGCTGGCTCCGAGGCGTGATCGTCTGGAGCAGCGGGCAAGTCGCCCAAGCATGCTCGCGCCGTGAAGAGAGCACGCTGGGAGGTTCCCGGCCGCTCTCGGCCTCGGTGGCCCTCGCCGGTCCGCGGGACCCTCAGGCAAGGACGCGGGAGGAGAAGCCAGGCCCGTGGGGAAAGGGTTGGGACTTCCGGAGGCTGCGTGCTGAACAAATCAGGACGTCGCGTGTCTGGGCTGGGTGCCGCTCCCCCCCGCCTCAGTATTTTTCTTGCGGCCAGACAGTTCGTCAGCCGATCGCCCCCCGGCAACTCGAGCGCGAGAGCGGATTGCCTCTGCCGCGTGGCGACGAACGAATGTCTGGGTTGGGTGGGGGGAATGGGCCTAGGGGGGTGCATCGCCGATAGACGGATCCTCGTATCTGCACGCTCGGCGTCGAGCGGAGTCGAGCCTGCCTGCGGCACATCCCGGAGTGCTTTACGCTTTGAGGGCGCTCCAGCCGTCCGCGGCCCTTGCCCCCTTCCCTCCCGGCCTCTTCCTCGCCGCCTTAGTGCCCAATTCGCACCGCAGCAGCCCTGCCGTATCCACGACCGCAACTTGGACCCAAGGCGCCGCCGAGCGAAAAAGTTCGGCGTCGAGTCCCGGCCCCCCTCCCCAGACCCTGCAGGCCCGCAGGCGTGTCTTCTGTCGTGGCTGGAGCCCTCGACCCCTATCTCCTTGGGACCGGTGCCTCTCCGCGGATCGACCGCGGATGGTCTTGCTGCTCGAGAGCGGCCCTGGGATCAGGGCCAAAGGTGAGGGGGGATAGGATAGGCTCAAGGGGGACGCTTCGGGTTCGAGTTTCGAGGTTCTTGAGTGTTTTCGTCGGTTCCCGGCGGTGTATCAGCTTCGGGATGCCTTCCAGCGGCTGCGCCTCGCCGAGAAGTTTCCGAGGGTGCCCGGATCGCCCCGAACGGCCGCCAGGGAGCCGAGTTATGACCCGAAAACCAGGGGCATCGTTAGGGGGGATGAGGCTCAGGAGGGGGGGGCGCATCGACTCCCAATCGCCCATTCATCGCCGAGCTCAGGACCGTGTGGATTCGCAATCGGGGGCCTATCGCCGACCTGTCGGCAACGTGTCGCCGATTCCACCTCGATGCTCCCCCCCGCGAGCCAGTCCTCCCCCTATCCTCCCCCCGTACCCCTGAGTTCCTGGCGTCGCATTTGTCTATCGCAGGGCGTGTTCGCCCAGTTTTCGGGGCCCCAGGGTCCGCAGAAAGGTGGGGTCCAGGGCTCTGGTCGTGACTTCTGTCACGGTGTTGTAATTCTTCCGCGAGATCGGATCTTAGTGTCTCGGGGCCCTCCCCCTGCTTACAGCCAAGACGCCAACAGAAGGAACACCAGGATTTAGGTGGGGCTCTGGCTTTCGGGCATTCCCTTGGATCTGGGTCGGGGAGCCCATTTCGTGGCGAAGGCTGGCCACGGTCAGAAGAGCCCCCTCGTTGTTCCGCGTTCCTTACGGTGGGGCGGTGACTGTACGGCAGGTTTGGGGCCAGAGCTCTTCAGAAGGGGAGCCTGCGTCCTTTCTTCGTCCCCCACCGTGTGATGAAGGGGCCTGCTGGGCGCTTCCAGTGCGGGTAACAACTTGTAGCCCCGAGCGAAGAGGAGGAGGAGGAGGAGGAGGAGGAGGAGGAGGAAGAGGAGGAGGAGGAGCGCTTACCATCTCCCGTCTTCATCCGCCTAGCCTTCCGCTCCTCACAGAGGCAGCTACCTGGAGGCAGAGGCGCAGCCTGTTGTCAATCAGTGATGTCGACGGGCAGCCATTCGGCCGATTGTTTTGATTGGGGCTGGGAACGCGTCGGGGGCCACACGCCGCCGACTTCAGGGGTGGTCGGCCGCGCGCGTGGCCCCGAGGGGACGCCTGTCGCTTCGGGGCAGCGCGGCCTAGCTCGATGTTCTTCGCGCCGACGTCGCCGATGCATCGCCGACGTTGCTGATGCATCGCCGACGCATCGACGATGCGGTACGGTTCTCCGACCCCATCTACTCCGACCCCATCTGAGAGGCCTCTATTCATCCCTAGCTGCAGAACGATAGGGGTCGAGGGCTCTGGTGGCTTTCTTCACGATGTCGTAGTTGTTTCGTGACGTCGGATCTCAGGGCTCGCCCGCGCCGAAAGTCATACTCTCCGCCAGGCCTCCCCTCCCTCTTCCCCTCCCCCAGGATGCAATTCCTGGGATGTTAAATTCAGCATCGGCGCCGGTATATCCGTGGTCGGAAACCGGCCTGATCCGGTATGGTCCCGTTTTTATCCAGCTTTGTCCCGCTCAGTCTGGTCAATCTGGGTTAGTTCTGGGTTCAGTCTGGGATCTTCTGGCTCAGTGGACTTATGATAAGGCTAAGTAGGCATTACTCTTTCTCGCGACGAGCTCCCAGGAGTTGCCTCCTAACTCTTCCCTTCACCCTCCGCCTTCCTCCTCCCCCTCCTCCTCCTTCCTCCCAGCCCTGCAGACCCCTGGAGGTGGGGGGGGGGCTGGCCCCCGCAAGGAGGGAGGGCAGCACGGCAAGCTGGTGGCCGACCTGCTGGGGGCCAAGAAGAAGGAGGAGGAGAAGGATCCGCCCATCCTCGGGGACCATCCTCCGCTGACCATACAGCACCCATGCGCAGATCATGCATGGCACCAGCTGTCGGCATCAGCGCAAGTGTCATTGTCGCTGTCATCGTTTCCTCCACGGTCACGGCCGTAGTCGGTGCTGTCTCCATGGTGCTGTCTCTCCTCTGGCTCGGCGTGCCTATAATGCTCTTGATGTGCTGCTCACTCGGGGGGGAGTCATGCATTTCGAGCGGCTTGTTCATATGGTGGGTGGTGTCACCCAGGCCAGGCAGACAGACTCCCAGCGAGCGCCCGTCGCTCGCCGCTCTATGGCCACGGGTTCTATCGCCACTTCGGAGCTGCATCGTGAGCGGCTCGCACGACTTCGCTGTACATGGAGGGATTCACAGGGGGCCTCGTCTTAGGGGGAGAGCGGCGGAAGGGAGAGCCCAGCGCACGAGATCTGGATGATCGAAATGGGTGCGCAAAGAATGTGACGAAGACCGACAACAGTTCCTGCCCATTCTGAACAGCACTCGCTGTCAGTATCGCCGCAGATGTTATCAGGTTGAGACGGAAAGTCGCCTGCCCAACAGCGGCCGGTGTCGGTTTTGGACAGCATTTGCTGTTGGACCTCGTTCTAATTTTTCCGTACCCGTTTTGGGCGTCCCAACGAGAGGGCTTAGCCATTGGGGGGGCCTAGGGGTTCGCAGTCAGCCGCGCATCCGAGGAACAAAAAACAGCATGATCATAAACTTTCAGAGCTCCGAGCGGATTTCGTGGATCGGCGCCCGGCCCCCCCCCCGTATGGGTGGGCTGTCACCCAATTCTCTTGCATTTCTTTGGAGAAGCGGGCAATCCTGTACTCTGCATGCGACAAGAAATTTGATACATGAGGTCTAGGGGCACAGTTGTCGTCAATCTTTGAACTTCCTGAGGCTTTCCAGAGCATCTGTAGGACCTCAAGGCAATCGGGGCATCAACAGTTCTTGTGGGGCACCCGCAAGCAGGCCAGTTTCTTGCTTGATATGTCTACTGTAGTTGCGCTGATCTTGCGCTGGCAGCCGAGTGCGAGCGAGTGCTACGTTGCTGCGCGCTGACTGAGCGCTCGTGCCCGCTCTCTTTTCGCCCTCTTGCCTCCGGCAGGAGCGCCTGAAACGCGAAGAGGAGGAGACCCGCGAGGAGTTCGACGACGGGCAGAAGGCCGGGGGTGTCCGCCTGGGGAAGTTGAAGCGCAAGAAGGACGCGGCCTCCAGCCACACCGAGGCTTCCTCGGTTGTGCCGCCGCCGCCGCGTCGAGAGGGAGGGCAGACACATACGCACAGACACGCGCACTTTTTCCTCCGACGCGCCAGTGGGTTGCAGCTAGTGGTGTGAACCTACGGGGGACTCTGCGTAAAGTACTTGTCCACTCTTGTGATGCACGCAAACAGAGGGACTCCCCGCGAGCGCCTGGCGTAGTCGACAGCCGAGCTACAAGGTGCACGCGGCGCAAGCGAGAAATAGGGAGCCACGCCCGTGGGCACACACACAGCAAGATATTGGAGCAGTCGTGAAAGGCTGTTGAGTGAGCAGCCGTGCTCTCTTGCTTCTTGTTTACTTAAGGCAGGGCGTTTATCTCACCAATTGCACGCGAGAGCAGTGACCTCTATTGTAGAGGCCTCCGGCCAGTGCCGCCGATCCGGGACGATCCCGCTGTCAGAAGGACGTTTTCGCCCCAGCGCGCTAGTTCAAACGTAAGTGGTTTGAAAACAGCTTGGAGGCATTGCGTGGGCTTCTTGAGGGGTCTCCACGACGCATCTTCGAGGCCTCCTGGGGGGGCGTCTTGGAGGTGATTGTTGAGCCTCTTGGGGGCCTTTTGGGTTTCTTAGGGGGCATGCAGGAGGCATCCTGGAGGCCTCCTGGGGGTGTGTAGGAGGTAATTTTTGAGCCTTCGGGAGCGCTTTTGGGTGCCTTTTGGGGGCCTCTTGAGGGCCACTTGGAGCCTCTCAGGGTTTCTTGGGGACTCCTAGGGCCATTTTGGTGCCTCCTGGGCGCCTCTTGGGCCGTCTTGGGGCCTTCTGGGGCCGTCATGGAGCCCTCTTGGGCGCTTCTTGGGCCGGGCCCGCTTGGGCTGTCTTGAGGGCCTCCCGGGCCGTCTTGGGCCCTTCTTGGGCCGACTGGGGGCCCTCTTGAGAGCCTCTGGGCCTGTTTTGGGGGTCTTTTGGGCCGTGTTGGACACTGCGAAGGCCGAAGAAGCGAAAATGCAAAAAATTCACGTTTTCCCAAGATTTTCCGTTTTTGGGCACTTTAGGAGGTGTCGGGAGGGTACGTTGGAGGCTTCTGGAGCGTCTTGGAGCGATGTTTCGGCCACTCAGGGCCCTCTGGGGCCGTCTGGGTGGCCGCTGGATTTTTTTATGAGCCCGCGTTCGAGCTCTCCAGGGCGAGGGGCCGACCTGGAGTGAGCTGGAGCTCCGATTTTGCCACCAGGATTGGCTCGGACCCCCCCCCCTCCTACCCCAGCAGAGCCACCCCGGCACCCACACCCTCAGCAGAGCTAAAGCTCAAGAACTGAGGCTCAAGCTATATCTGAAGGTCTTTGAAACTCACACGCCGGATCGGCGGATTTCCTCGCCAAGTTGTGGTGATTCAGCGTTGCAGGGCTAGACTTCGCGCCAGGTCTGGGTCAAGTCTGGCCCGTTCCAGAACGGGTGCTTCGCGTGGGACGCCTTGGGGCTGTTGTCAACGCTTCCGAGACGCACGTCTGTCTGGAGCATTGTTTTCAGTCGATCAATGCTGGCGCCGTTCGGATACTGAGGGATAGCGCCTCATCTGTACCGCTCTGGTCGAATGGAGAAGCTCGCAAATCCTCGTCAAAAGCGCTGTTGGAAAGCGAGGGCAGGGCGCTGCATCTGGGTGATCCGTGAAGCTATCGCGCTTAATCTGGGCCGAACGTTTCTCGCCTGCGGCCCTGCCTTTTCTCGTCCTCTTGTTGCTGCAACTTCTCGTCCACCTCCCTTCCCCCTCCTCCTCCTCTCCCTCCCCCTCCCCCTCCCCCTCCCCCTCCTCCTCCTCCTCCTCCTCCTCCTCCTCCTCCTCCTCCTCTTCTGGCCCAAGTTTGGGCTGCATTTTTGCTTGACGTGCGGTAGAAGTGCCACGGAGGACCCACGTCATTTAGTTGCCGAAAGCAAGGCCCGTGCCAAGAAAGGTATTGAAAAGCTTCAACGAATTCAAAAGGGGCTTTTTCCCAGTCACGCGGGGCCGTCCAAGAGACGTCCCAGGCCCGTGAGCTGGGCATTGTCAGGCGCGAGGCCGTCCTCCGTGGCCCGCCGCCTGGGGCGCTTGCTGATCGCTGAGCTCGCTGCCACCCCGTGGGTATCAGCGAATTCCAGCGAATTCCTCTTCTTCCTCCGCCTCCTCCTCCTCCTCCTCCTCTTCTGCCTCCTCGGATGCGTGACTGCCTTCGGAAGAGCCCAAGCCTTCACAGGTCGACGTGGCGAAGCTCGGCGAGGCGATCCAGGCCCTGTGCCAGGCAGCAAATCCGCTGGGCAAGTCCATCGACCTGGTTCACCAGGACCGGCACGTCCTCCCATTGACCCTCCTCCTCTTCCTCCTCCTCCTCCTCCTCCTCTGCCCCCCCCCCCCCCCTCCCTGGCCCTCTCCCAGCCGACCCCCTCCCGGGCCTTCGCCCCGCCACCCCCCCCTCCCCCCCTCCCCCCGCCCCCAGGGGCCCCCGCAGATCCTGCCCTCCCCCCGGAGGAGGGCAGGACTTGCGGAGGGCCCGTGGAGGGCTCCTCCGCGGTTTCGTCTGGGTGTCTTCCGGGGCCATTTTGGGAGGCGAAGTCCCTCGGAGCATCCCGGCGGCTACCCAGCCGTTTAGATTGCGGGGGTCGCCGCGGTGCGCCCGGTTGGACTCGCGGCCGCGGGGAGGGGGAAATGGGGCAGGGGGACAGCCAACCATCTCACACATCTTTGCACCCCCGGCAAGCGGTCGGCGGATGACGGGAAGCGTCTTCGAGGTACGAGAAGCGAGTTGGACGTTGTGGCTGAATCTGCATCATATCTAAACAATTATTATTAATAGAGGGTGGCGCCCTGCACGGGGTTGAGGGTTAGCGGAGTCCTCAAAATAACGATTTCGCTGATACATCCTCACACAAATGACATCTCCGCGACATCGCGCATAACAAAAACACGCGTTTCGCTCGAGACATCCTGGAAAAGCTGATCGCCGCGAAATTCACTCATCTGTAAAATGTGTGGTTCGCCTGAGACATCCTCACAAACATGAGATGTCGATGGAGTTGTTTTATCCATAAAGGCTTCGCCCCCTGCCGCCGGCCCCCTCTCTCGGAGAATGGGCCATGGAAGAGCGAAGTCATGAGGCTTTGGCTTTGCCGTGAAGCAGTGTCGGGACCTATTTGTTTTTCGACCCTGACCCTGCCGATCTGCGTGAGGGGTGCCGCCGAATTTCAGACATGTGGCAACTCCTTTTTGTTTTTGGACCCTGACCCTACGGATCTGCGTCAGGGATGCCACCGAATTTCAGAAATGTTTCAAATCCCATCTGTTTTTGGACCCTGACCCCGCCGATCTGCGTGAGGGGTGCAACCGGATTTCAAAAATGCAGAAAATCACCAGTGGTTTTGGACCCTGACCCCGCCGATCTGTGTGAGGGGTGTCAGGAAATTTCCTGAATGTGGCAAATTCCAAATGTTTTTGGAGCCTGACCCCGCCGATCCGTGTGAGGGGTGTCAGGAAATTTCAGAAATGTGGCAAATCCTTTGTGTTTTTGGAGCCTGACCCCGCCGATCTGCGTGAGGGGTGCCACCGAATTTAAAACATGCGGCAAATCCCTTTTGTTTTTGAACCCTGACCGATCTGCGTGAGGGGTGCCACCGAATTTTAGAAATTCGGCAAATCTCTTGTGTTTTTGGACCCTGACCCCGCCGATCTGCGTGAGGGGTGCCACCGAATTTCAGAAATGTGGCAGATCCCTTGTGTTTTTGGACCCTGACCCCGCCGATCTGCGTGAGGGGTGCCACCGAATTTCAGAAATGTGGCAAATCCCGAGTGTTTTTGGACCCTGACCCCGCCGATCTGTACGAGGGGTGCCACCGAATTTCAGAAATGTGGCAAATCCTTTGTGTTTTTGGACCCTGACCCCGCCGATCTGCGTGAGGGGTGCCAGGAATTTCCCCCCCCCCAGGAATTCTGAGAACCCTCCCGGGGGTGCTGACCAGGGTGGTTTTCGGCTCCCCCCCCTCGCGCGGACAGTAACAATTTACAGTAGGAAGCAGAAAGCAGTACTGTAACAATTGAAACTGGAAACTGGAACTGGTGCAATGAGCAGCAAGCTTAATCCTCGCAGCCTGATGGCCCCGCAAGGGGGCCGGCGGATTGCCGCTTATGTTGAACATTGTGTTTTCGCTAGGGACATCCTCAGAAAATGCCCAGCAGCACGGTGGACGAGAAAAAAGAGCACGGCAGAAAATTTGCATTTCGCTGGGACATTCTCATAACATGAGATGTTCCCAACATCGTGTTGACATTTTTCTTGAAGTGTTTCAAGAGGAAGAAATGAGATGCCCCAAATGACTTCAATATGGCTCCAAGAGCGCCCATATGACAGACTGCCGAAAATGACGATTTCGCCAGGGACATCTTCAAAACATGAAAAATATACAATAGGATCGTTTTGACAACTGTTGTTCTAACATCGTCTTGGAATCGCTCTTGAAAAGACTTCCAGACGGCCCAAGCCAGGCTTCTAACAATGACGAGACATATGTGTGACATGGCATTGGCATGTTGTTGATGGCATCGAGGCAGCCCCAAACGAGCCCCAAACGAGGCCCAATATGACCCCAAGAGCGCCCTCGAGATTCCTCACAATTTAACATTTCGCTTGAGACATCCTCACCAAAACGAGTTGTTCGCAACACTGTCTTTCACATAAACAAGCATTTCGCCTGAGACATCCACTAGAAAATGGCAACCGCGAGTTTAACACACGTATGGAAATGGGGATATCGCCTGAGACATCCTCGAACACATGAGATGCTGAAAAGGCTGAGTTAAGACCATGCGTGTTTAAACTGAGCTCTTCGCATGACACATCTTCAGAAAATGGGCAGGATCACACGCGCAGAAGCACGGCAGAACGCGCGAGAGCACGGCAGAACACACAGGAGCATGGCAGAGCACACAGGAACACGGCAAACCCGAGGAACACACGGGAGCATGGCAGAACAAACAGGAGCACAGCAGAGCACACAGAACATGGCAGAACACACAGGAGCACGAGGAGCACGGCAGAACACACATGATACATAGGAGCACGGCAGAACACATAGGAGCGCGGCAGAGCACGCAGGTGCATTGCAGAACACATAGAACACCTCCGTGGCCATTTTGGCTCAAGGCCATGGAGCACCCGACGACCGCGAGTCGTCCGTGGCGTTCCGAACGCGAGGGGCTCCTCGCTTCGGGCCAGTGCAATTCTTTGTTTTTCTCCATGCATACGCGGCGCGGAGGCGCATCCTGTCAGGCCACGTGGCCTGGGCCATGGCGCGGCCCTCGCGGGGTGGCGGCAGCGGAGGCAGGCGCAGCAGGACGTACAACTGGGACTGGCGCACCACGTGCCTTTTGGCTGTGGGTACGCGGCCCCGCCCTGGGCGCTGGACGCTGCTGCCAAGGCCAAGCCCCAGGCGGACAAGGGCGGCTTGGTGGATCAGCCGCGCGGGCGCCGTGCCCAGCGGCAGGCCCGCAGTGCGGCAACGAGTGCGGCAACCTCCAAGTCGCAGACTTCGGCGTCGGGCGCCAGTGGGGCGCCCAGCGGCAGCGGCGCCACGGCGATCGAGAGGCTGCAAGTGGCGGTCGAGCAGCTGGAGGCGCTGCAGGCGGAGCCGCCCGACGGGGTCGACTGCTGCTTCACCGACGTCGTCGCCAGCCAGCTGGAGGCCAGGCGCGCCGAGCTGGCGGAGGCCCAGCGGACCGCAGCGGAGCAGAAGGCGTCCTCCATGCCGCTGTCGACGATGCTCCACAAGGAGGCGAACGCCATCGGCAAGGCGGAGAAGCGCCTCCGTGCAGCGCGCCAGAGCCTGGAGCAGAAGCAAGAGGCTCGTGGACTCGTCGAGGCCCAGCTGCAGAAGGCCCAGGGGGAGCTGGCGCAGCTCGACGCGGAGGTGGAGGAGGCCAGGCTTGCGCTCCACGCCCTCGAGGAGGAGGCCAGAGTGGAGGCCGCGGCGCAGCTGCGCCAGCGTGCGGCCGAGTGGGCAGGGGCCAGCCAGGTTCCAGGGCTCCTCATGCAGTTGGACGAGCTGCCCGAGGCATGGGGCTCCAGCAACTTCGAGGTGGCGTGGGCTGCCATTCGCTCCCAGGTGGAGGCGGTGCGCGCGCAGCTTGCCGAGGCCCCTGTCGCTCCGAAGAGAGCGCACTGGGCGGAGTCGCGCCCCATGGGCGAGATCAGCAGCGAGGACGGCGACCGCGCAGGAGGATGCAGGCACTGGCAGTCGCAGTGCGCCGCGGAGCGTGGCCAGGCCGAGCGTCGCGGCGACGCCCGCGGAGAGTGGCCGAAGGTCGCCCAGGCGTGCAAGCGGGAGCTGGCGGCCGAGGCTGAAGACCTGGCCCCTCTTGCTGCTCGCCCTGCTCGCCGCGCCGCGGGGAGTCGCAGCGGAGGCGAGAGGTCGCAGCTGTCGTGCGCGTAGCCGCGCCAGAGGCGCTGTGCATTGGCAGCAAGAGGGCGGCGGCGCCGAAGCGGCCCGTTGCGGCGGCACGCGGCCCCTCGACCTCGGGAGTGCGCAGGCCCCACCGGCGCCAGGCCAAGCTGCGACGGCAGCTCAGGATGTCCGCAGCGGGCTGGAGGAGTTCGGGGCCAACGGCGACGCATGGAGGAGGGGCCTGGAGGGGGCCGAGGCCTCGGGCCCGCGCAGCGGGGACCCGCCGCGCCTTGCAGTGCAGCAGGATACCCGCCTGACTCCGCACCGCCTGAAGGAGGCCAGAGGAGCAGCGCGGCGCATGCGCACTATGGCGTTCCACCACGCGGCGACGCCCACGGACAAGGGGGGCCCGCTGGCGAGCGCAGGCGGCGTCGCAGGTTGGAGGCAGGGCTGGAGTGGAGTCACAGTGCCCGCTGCGGCAGGCCTGCAGCAGCTGGCGTGCTCGCTGTACCTCCGTGGCGCCCTGGGACCTATAGGCATCAACCTCGACAGCTTCGCTGCCTTCGGCGACTCGGTGCCCTGCCAGAGACCGCGGTTCTTTCCGGTCGTGGGCGTGGCCACCGGGACGTTCAGCACCAACGGGGCAGGTTTGGCGGGGTGGGCGTGTAGCCCGTCAGTGGCCAAGCCGCCTGGGCTGGCAACCCTCCACGCCGCCCCAGCGGGCGGCAGGCCGCTGGGTGTAGCCCGCGGCGTCGACGGCGATATCGCGCTGCAGGCCGTGGGCACGGAGCAGCTGGTGGCCGCGTGGGTCGGCGGAGCTGCGCTGGGAGTGGTGCGCCGCCTCCGTGGTCAGCACCTGCCCCTCAGTGCTGCCAAGGCGACCCGCCTCGCTCCGAGCCCCAGCCCTGGTTGCCAGTTCGGGGCGTGCGGGAAGTCGCAAGGCGGGGCCCTCTGCGAGACCTTGCAGGCCAGGAACCTCGGCTCGGACCCCGCCAGCGCGAAGTGGGGAGCACACGAGGGCAGAGTCCGCGCGGCAGGAGTGCTTCGGCGAGCGCGCAGGCAGGACCCGATCCACAAGGCTGGGCCCGCGGCCAGCGGGATGCGCGGGCGCGCGGTCACGGGCAACGCGGACGGCGAGCTGCACAGTTGGCGGCTGACGGCCAGTTGCAGCGCAGGAGCGCTCCCCAGGGGCGCAGAGCGAGGGCTGCGCATGCGATATGCCGAGCTCAGGAGGAGGCGTAACCTGGACCCCGCAGCCCTCAGGGCTGGCCACTCAGTCCAGATGAAGGCAGGCCTGCTGCAGGAAGGCGCACTGCCGCCTATGATGATGGAGCGGGGGCTGGAGGCGGCGGAGACCAGGCACGCCAGAACTGACGGGCCATGGGAACACTGCGCCTCCCCCTTCGACGCAGAGATGCTGACCCGTGCCAGGATCGACTGGCACCTCAAGTCCGAGCGGTGCATGGTCGCGGGCCTAGGCGACGAGCTCGACCTCAGGTGCGGGATGGGATGGGAATGGAGCTGGCCCCAGCTCGGCGCGGGCCTCAGGAGCTGGGATGGGGGGCTGGCCCAGGCGCTCGAAGTGCATCCTTTCGTCACGAAGCGCGGAAGCTCTGCCACGGCACCTGCATGCTGGGGGGCCGCATCTCCAACGCGCACTGGGCGCAGGCCAGGCTCCTCGTTGCACGGGAACAGGGGCAAGCACGCTGCTGCGGAGCAGAGAGAGGCACCTGGTGGCACCGCCAGCACGGCGGCCCTGTGCACGAGGCCCAGCGGTACGACAGAGGCCGCTGGCTGCCTGCGCATTGGCCACCGCAGGGCCGCCGCGCCGACGCCTTGGGGGTGCGTTGTGTCCGCAGGCCGTCCGATGAGAAGCTCAACGGCAAGCTGTGCCTCGACGGCGCGGCGCTTGAGCCGCTGTTCGGCGCCTGGCGCCGTTGGGGCGGAGCCGCAGCGCACCGCGACGGCGACGGCAACCTGGTGGCAGAGGTCTACGGCGCAGTCGGGGGCGACCGCGGCCCGCAGCGGACGGCCAAGGACGGCGAGGACGAAGCGGCCTGGATGCTCGACACCCTCGCTAGGCCAGCGGTGGAGGAGGTCAACATCGACTGTTCGAGGCATGCAGTGCTCGACGGACGCCTGACGGAGGCCCAGAGGCGCGGCAACGAGCACGCAGGCCGCCTTGCCGTGAGGAGGGCACAGACGCATGCAGTGGACAAGCGGGCCGTTGGCGTGCACCAAGCGCAGGCAGGGTTCGTGCAGGAACTCGGGCGCTGGATCTGGTGGGCCGTCTTCCTCGCGCAAGGCATCGGGGCTGGGGGCGGCGAGGGGCTCCCTCCTGCTGCCGTGCGGCGCCAGGCGCGTTTAGCTGACGCCGAGAGGTCTCAGGCGGCGGAGGAGGCCAGGGGCGAGGGGCCGTCGGCCGAGCGGCCGCGCCTGGAGAGCGCCCGCTCGACAGGCAACAGCTCGGCAGCCCTCTCGGCCAGTGCGGTAGCCTTCAGCACCCTGGGACATGCCCTGTCCTACGCCTGCGCTGGAGAAGGTGAGGGCACGCAGGAGCTCGTGGCGTGCTCCAAGTGTGGCGCCTACATGACGCTGGGCGGCCGCTCAGGGGTTAAGCCTCGCCTCAAGGAGCGGTGCCCAGGCGACAAGACCGACAAGGGCGGCAGGAACCAGCGCAGCCTGCGGCTACGAGGACTCCATGGTGGCAGACCTCGAGCGGATAAGCAGAGGGTTAGAGCAGAGGGCATCCCTGCTCTGCGTTTGCAAGGGCAAGTGCCAGGACGCGCCCAGGAGCGCTACCTGGAGTGGATAGGCATGGAGGCGGAGCCCGCGGGCGGAGCCTCGGCCGCGGTCAGCAGTTCGGGCAGCGGCCCAGCGGCGCCCGCGGCTGCGCAGGAAGTGGAGGCAGCGGCAGCCAGCCTGCCCCAGCAGCAGCCAGGGTCGAGCGCGGGCGCCCTCGGAGCTGGTGAGGCAGCCGAGGAGGAGCTCGCAGCCGCGGGAGCCGCACCCAGCGGCGGCCTGGCGAGCCGCAGGGTCCGCCGCCGCCTGACGCGCCGTGGTTCGGAATACCTGGAGTTCTACCTGGAGGAGCTCAGCGGCGAGGAGGAGCCTACAGGCAGAGCCTCAACCGCGGCCAGCAGCTCGGGCAGCGGCCCAGCGCCCCCCGCGGCAGTGCAGACAGCGGAGGCGGCGGAGGTGACCGCCGCGAGCAGCGCGGCGTGCGGAAGGCATGTGAGCCGCAGGGTCAGCCGCCTGCTGGCGCACCGCGGCTCGTCGTCCGTGGGCGAGCGAGTGAGGATAAGCATCGTTCTCTCGTGTGCTGCCCCAGTGTGAGTGGGCACGCGAGGCACGCTCTGCAGCTTGGGGGCTCCTGTGTCCCGTCGCAGTCGAGTTCCCGTTGAGCGCTGGTCCAAGGCGGCCCCGCTCGGAGGCCGAGAGGCGGCCCAAGGTGGCCCTTTCGGGGGGGTGGCCCTGCTGCGCCCCCGCGGGTGGCGGCCCTTGGCGGCCCCTCTCGTGCTGGCGTGTCTTTGGCCTTTTGGCCCACCACTTTGCCTTCGAGGCCCCGTCTTTAACCTTCACTTTAACCCATAGAACACAAATCATACAGGAACACGGCAGAAGATACAGGAGCACGGCAGAACACACAGGAGCACGGCAGGACACAGGAAGAGGAGGAGGACGGCAGAGCACGGCAGAACAAGCAGGAGCACGGCAGGACATCCGTAGCCATTTTGGCTCAAGGCCATGGAGCACCCGACGACCGCGACTCGTCCGCGGCGTTTCGAGCGCGAGGGGCTCCTCGCTTTGGGCCGGTGCAATTCTTTGTTTTGCTCCCTGCATACGCAGCGCGGAGGCGCATCCTGCCAGCCCACGTGGCCTGGGCCATGGCGCGGCCCTCGCGGGGTGGCGGCAGCGGAGGCAGGCGCAGCAGGACGTACTGGATATGCAGCTGCGGTGGATGGAACTGGGGATGGCGCGCCACGTGCCTTGGCTGTGGGTGCGCGGCCCCGCCCTGGGCGCTGGATGCTGCTGCCAAGGCCAAGCCCCAGGCGGACAATGACGGCTGGGTGGATCAGCCACGCGGGCGCCGTGCGCAGCAGCAGGCCCGCAGTGCGGCAACGAGTGCGGCAACCTCCAAGTCGCAGACCTCGGCGTCGGGCACCAGTGGGGCGCCCAGCGGCAGCGGCGCCACTGCGATCGAGAGGCTGCAGGGGGCGGTCGAACAGCTGGAGGCGCTGCAGGCGGAGCCGCCAGGCGGAGTCGACTGTTGCTTCACCGGCGTTGTCGCCAGCCAGCTGGAGGCCAAGCGCGCCGAGCTGGCAGAGGCCCAGCGGGCCGCAGCGGAGCAGAAGGCGTCTTCCATGCCGCTGTCGACGATGCTCCAGAAGGAGGCGAACGCCATCAGCAAGGCGGAGAAGCGCCTCCGTGCAGCGCGCCAGAGCCTGGAGCAGAAGCAAGAGGCTCGTGGACTCGTCGAGGCCCAGCTGCAGAAGGCCCAGGGGGAGTTGGCGCAGCTCGACGCGGAGGTGGAGGAGGCCAGCCTTGCGCTCCACGCCCTCGAGGAGGAGGCCAGAGTGGAGGCTGCGGCGCAGCTGCGCCAGCGCGCGGCCGAGTGGGCGGGGGCCAGCCAGGTCCCAGGGCTCCTCCTGCAGCTGGACAAGCTGCCCGAGGCATGGGGCTCCAGCAACTTTGAGGTGGCGTGGGCGGCCATTCGCTCCCAGGTGGATGCAGTGCGTGCGCAGCTTGCCGAGGCCCCTGTCGCCCCGAGGAGAGCGCCCTGGGCGGAGTCGTGCCCCATGGACGAGATCAGCAGCGAGGGCGGCGACCACGCAGGAGGCTGCAGGCGCTGGCAGCCGCAGTGCGCCGCGGAGCGGGGCCAGGCCGAACGTCGCGGCGACCCCCGCGGTGAGTGGCCGAAGGTCGCCCAGGCGTGCAAGCGGGAGCTGGCGACCGAGGCTGAGGACCTGGCCCCTCTTGCTGCTCGCCCCGCTCGCCGCGCCGCTGGGAGTCGCGGCGGAGGCAAGAGGCCGCAGCTGTCGTGCGCGTAGCCACGCCAGAGGCGCTTTGCATAGGCAGCAGGAGGGCGGCGGCGCCGAAGCGGCCCGCTTCGGCGGCACGCGGCCCCTCGACCTCGGGAGTGCGCAGGCCCCGCCGGCGCCAGGCCAAGCCGCGACGACAGCTCAGGATGTCCGCCGCGAGCTGGAGGAGTTCGGGGTCAACGGCAACGCATGGAGGTGGAGCCTGGAGGGGGCCGAGGCCTCGGGCTCGCGCAGCGGGGCCCCGCCGCGCCTTGTAGTGCACCTGGAGACCCACCTGGCCCCGCACCGCCTCGAGGAGGCCAGAGGAGCAGCGCGGCGCTTGGGCTCTACGGCTTTCCTCCACGCGTCGGAGCCCGCGGACAAGGAGGGCCCGCTGGCGAGCTCAGGCGGCGTCGCAGGCTGGAGGCAGGGCTGGAGAGGAGTCACAGTGTCCACTTCGTCAGGCCTGCAGCTGCCAGGGCGCCCTGGGACCCGAAGGCTTCAACCTCGACAGCTTCGCTGCCTTCGGCGACTCGGTGCTCTACCAGAGACCGCGGTTCATTCCCGTCGTGGGCCTGGCCACCGAGACGTTCAGCACCAACGGGGCAGGTTTGGCGGGGAGGGCGTGTGGCCTCACCGTAGCCAAGCCGCCTGGGCTGGCAGCCCTCCACGCCGCCCCAGCGGGCGGCAGGCCGCAGGGTGTGACTCGCAACGTCGACGGCGACATCGCGCTGCAGGCCGTGGGCGCGGTGCAGCTGGTGGCCGCGTGGTTCGGCGGAGCAGGGCTGGGAGTCGTGCGCCGCCTCCGTGGTCAGCGCCTGCCCCTCAGTGCTGCCAAGATGACTTTCCTCGCTCCGAGCCCCCGGCCAGGGCGCCAGCTCGGGGCGTGCGGGAAGTCGCAAGGCTGGACCCTCTGCGAGGCCTTGCAGGCCAGGGGCCTCGGCCCGGACCCCGCCAGCACAAGGTGGGGAGCGCATGAGGGCATAGTCCCAGCTGCAGGAGCGCTTCGCCGAGCGCGCAGGCTGGACCCGATCCACAAGGCTGAGCCCGCGGCCAGCAGGATGTGCGGGCGCACGGCCACGGGCAACGCGGACGGCGAGCTGCACAGTCGGCGGCTGGCGGCCAGTCGCAGCACAGGAGCGCTCCCCATGGGCACAGAGCGAGGGCTGCGCATGCGCTGTGCCGAGCTCAGGAGGAGGCGTAACCAGGACCCTGCAGCCCTCAGAGCAGGCCACGCAGTCCCGATGAAGGCGGGCTTGCTGCAGGCAGGCGAGCTGCCGCCTATGATGATGAAGCGGGGGCTGGAGGCGGCGGAGACCAGGCACGCAAGAACTGACGTGCCATGGGAACACTGCGCCTCCCCCTTCGACGCGGAGATGCTGACCCGTGCGCGGATCGACTGGCACTTCAAGTCCGAGCGGTGCATGGTCGCGGACCCCGGCAACGGGCTCGACCTCATGCACCTCGGGCCTCAGGAGCTGGGAGGGGAGGATGGCCCAGGCGCGCGAAGTGCATCCGTTCGTCACGAGACGCGGAAGCTCAGCCGCGGCACCTGCCTGCTGGGGGCCCGCATCTCCAACCCGCACTGGGCGCAGGCCAGGCTCCTCGATGCACGGGAACAGGGGCAAGCACGCTGCTGCGGAGCAGAGAGAGGCACCTTGTGGCACCACCAGCTCGGCGGCCCGGTGCACGAGGCCCAGCAGTACGGCAAAGGCAGCTGGCTGCCTGCGCATCGGCCACCGCAGGGTCACCGCACCGACGCCATTGGGGTGCGTGGTGTCCGCAGGCCCGATGAGATGCTCAACGGCAAGCTGTACCTCGACGGCGCGACGCTCGAGCCGCTGTTCGGCACCTGGCGCTGTGAGGGCGGAGCCACAGCGCACCGTGACGGCGACGGCAACCTGGTGGCAGAGGTCTACGGCGCAGTCGGGCGTAACCGCTGCCCGCAGCGGACGGCCAAGGACGGCGAGGACGTAGCGGCCTGGATGCTCGCCACCCTCGCAAGGCCAGCAGTGGAGGAGGTCAACATCGACTGTTCGAGGCATGCAGTGCTCGACGGGCGCCTGACGGAGGCCCAGAGGCGCAGCAACGAGCGCGCAGACCGCCTTGCCGTGAAGAGGGCCCAGGCGCATGCAGTGGACAAGCGGACCGTTGGCGTGCACCAGGCGCAGGCGGGGTTCGTGCAGCGGGCGCTGGGTCTGGTGGGCCGTCTGCCTCGGGCAAGGCATCGAGGCCAGGGGCGGCGAAGGGCTCCCTCCTGCTGCTGAGCGGAGCCAGGCGCGTCTCGCTGACGGCGAGAGGTCTCAGGCGGCGGAGGAGGCCAGGGGCGAGGGGCCGTCGGCCGAGCGGCCGCACCTGGAGAGCGCCCGCTCGACAGGCAACAGCTCGGCAGCCCTTTCGGCCAGTGCAGTAGCCTTCAGCATCCTGGGACATGCCCTGTCCTACGCCTGCGCTGGAGAAGGTGAGGACACCCAGGAGCTTGTGGCGTGCTCCAAGTGTGGCGCCTACATGACGCTGGGCGGCCGCTCAGGGGTTAAGCCTCGCCTCAAGGAGCGGTGCCCAGGCGACAAGACCGACAGGGGCGGCAGGAACCAGCGCAGCCTGTGGCTACTAGGACTCCATCCGGGAGGCAGGAGGCAAGAGGGGCCACGAGCTGCCAGGCACAGAGTGAAAGGAGAGGGCATCCCTACGCTGCGTTCGCAGGGGCCAGTGCCAGAGCACGCGCAGGAGCGGTACTGGAGTGGCTTGGCACTGCAGCGGAGCCAGCGGCAGACCCCTCGGCCATGGCGAGCAGTGCAGGCAGCGCCCCAGCGGCGGCAGCTGAGCCACGAGCGGCTGCGGACCCAGGAGGAGGCCCTTCGGATGCGGCCGTCGTTGCGGCCGCCGCCTGCCTGCCCAAGCGGCGCCCAGCTGCAGCGAGTGAGGGGGGCCTCGGCGAGTTCGGGGTCGTCGACGAGGAGCCCGCCGCCGCGGCTGGCCCTGCGGGCGGAGCCCTGGAGGGCCGCAGGGTACGCCGCCGCGTGGCGCGCCGTGGCGGCCTGTCCGCGAGTGAGTGAGTGAAAGGTTGCATCGCTGTGGCCCGCGCCTGCTGCTCCATTTGGGAGCAGGCTTCCGCCGCCCTCGGTGCCTTTGGGACTCGGCGTCTCTCGGGAACGCGGGTCCCGTCTGGCCCTGTCCGTGTGCTTGCACTTTGCTTTGCAGGCCCCGTCTTTAATTCTAACTTTAGCATGGCAGAACACAAAACACATAGGAGCACGGCAAAGCAAGCAGGAGCGCGGCAAACCACACAGGAGCACGGCCGTACATATATGAGCACGGCAAAACACATAGGTGCACGGCAGAATTGAGGGCAGACCACGCAGGTGCACGACAGAACACATAGGAGCACAATCCGTAGCCATTTTGGCTCAAGCCAGCTCGGTTCAAGCTTGCTTGAGCGAGGGATGGCCACGGGAGGGGACCCTCTGCGGTTCCCCCGCTCGCGGCGCGAGCGTGGCGATGCGGCGCGGCGCGCCCGAGCGGCTGCTGACGCGGCCGTGCGACGTGCCCTGGAGGCCGCAGCCGATGCCCAGTCTCGCCTGCTCGAGGCGGAGGCCGCCCTCGGCCTGCTCGTCGGCGTGCCTGAGCTTGCCGATCGGGTCCAGGCGGTACTCCCAGCGCTGGCCGCGCTTGTGCGGGGAGATGCGCCGACCTGGTTGGAGCAGCTACGGCGCAACGTGGCGCTCCATGCCGAGGCCGACGGAGTGAAGTCGATTGCCTCCGCCTCGGCAGCCCCCCTCAGGAAGGCCCAGAAAGGTCAACGCCTGGGGCCGCGGCAGAAGGGTGCCCGCAGTGCTGGCGACCACGGCGATGGTGTCTCTCGGCTCGGAGGCCTGGGCATCGACGTGGAGATCTGCGAGGCCGAGCCTTTGCTGAAGCTCGCAGGCGGTCTGCCGCCGCGGCAGCGCACGCCGCTGAGATCTTCGGCTGAGCCATGCTGTTTGCACGTGTTCGAGGGCTTGCGGTGTTCGTGCGGCGCGGTGGTGTGCTCTTCTTGCTCCGTCGCCGCCGCCCTCGGGGTGCAGGAGGTCCCTGGAGGTGCTGCAGGCCGCGCGCTGCTGCCTCCCGTCTCGGGACATGCTGAGGGATCTGCTGTCGACGACGTGATCCTTGACGGCGAGGCCGACGCGGACACCTCGCGCTCGGTTGAAGAGCCGCCAGATGCCGAACATTCAGCCAGTGTCGCAGCCGCCGCCGCCGCCGCCGCGTACCTCGCCGCCTTTCCGCAGGCCCTCCTCAGCGGGAGCGGCGGCGGCAGGGTTCGCAGCGAGGTCGCGGCAGGGGCCTGGTGGCGAGCGAGGGCCGTCGTCGCCCGCGCGTGGCTCACCGCTGATGCTGCGACGCTGCAGGAGGGCGGTGCTGCGGGGTCTGCCACCCCGCCGCCGCCGCCGCTTGGCGAGACCGTGCCCGCCGGAGGGCAGGTCGCGCGGGCCGTGTGCCCGCTGTCGGGGTGTGCTGCCGGCGCCGAGGCGCCGCCGCTGCTGCGGAGAGTCCGCTTTGCAGATGCCCCGCACGTTTTCGAGATTGGGAGCTGCTCGGGCATGCGTGGTATCCTTCGGCGGGGGGGCGCGCCAAGGTTTCTGGGCCCCGCCTGGACGCGCCACGCAAAAGCCGTAGACCTCATGGACATGATCGAGGGCGACTCCTTCGGCCTCAGGATTCCTCCCACACGGAGGCCGCTGCAACATGGGGCGAGATTCGCGGTCGAGGCTCGTCTGGTTGAGGCCCTTCCGCTTGGGATGTCTGTTGAGCGTGCCAGAGAGATCGATCGCCTTCTCAGATTGTGCGGAGGACTGTAGCTCATATGGGCCCCGCAGAACACGCAGTGGGTGAGTGGTATAGTGCATCGATGTGGCCTGCGCCTGCTGCTCTCCTGTGCGTGTAGGCCTCCGCCGCCCTAGGTGCCCGCCTGGGCTCGGCCTCTTTCGGGGACGCGGGCCCCGTCTGGCCCTGCCTGCGTTCTGGCCACCACTTGCCTTGAAGGCCCCGTCTTTAATTTTAACACATATGAGCACGGCAGAACACGCAAGATCACGAGGAGCACGGCCGAACACACACACAGAGTACATAGGAGCACGGCATAACATACAGGAGCATGGCAGAACACACAGGAGCGCGGCATATCACACAAACCACAGGAGCACGGCAGAACAAGCAGCAGCACGGCAGAACACACAGGAGCACGGCAGAACACGCAGGAGCACGGCAGAACACATAGGAGCACTGCAGAGCAGGACCGTGGCAGAACATGCAGGAGCACGGCAGAACGCACAGGAGCACGGCTGAGCATGACCATGCCAGAATACACAGGAGCACGGCAGAACACACAGGAACACAGCAGAACACGCAAGAACACGGCAGGACACATATAACATGTATTCACACAGCCGCACCCACAGGCACTCGCACATAGGCACACGCGCGCAGGCTCACGCACACGCATACGCACACGCACACACAGACGCACACACACACGCACATACACACACACACGCACACACAGAGCGGCAACATACGTTCACGCAGACCGCAGGAGCACGGCAGGGCAGCACGGCATAACACAGCAGTGCCGCAGACCACCACGCACGGACGCAAATGCACATATTCCACGCACGCACGCGCATGCGCAAACGCGCGCACGCCAGGACAGATTTGCGCAGCGCATGCTGAGATCGTCGGACATCTCGTAAGCCCAGGACAGAAAAGGACGCTTCCCGTTCTTGTCCGGTCAGGTCTCTTATGTCAAGATTCGTTGTGGCATGTGTATGCACGGGCCCCTGGACATCCCGACCCTCTCCCCCGAAGCGGGTTCTCCAGCCCGAGCCGTTTTCTGGCGGCCACCTGGGCGACCGACAACGGTTGCACACTTTAATCCCGGCTTCTGTTCTGCTAATGCGATAGCAGCGGCTTGTGCGCTTAGGTTTTGCCCCGCCGCGCCCCCCCCTATGGTCAGGAACGTTTGCTCAGCGTGTCGTTCGGCCAGTTTTGGCCTACTATGTGGCGCCACACGCTTACGACGTGTCAATCGCTCAGTGTCGGCATCCCGAGGGAGCGACGCACTATCAGCTCGCAGGGCACAGCGTGCCGCTGCGGCCGCCGCCGCGACACGCTAAGCAGATGCTCCCGACCAGCAAGCCGCGCACCAGAGGTCACTTTTGTCCAGGTCAAGAGTCATATCTCCATTTTGTTTTGTCAAGAGGATGTGGGCCAAGACATGCGATGGCGTTTTTTTCAATACGGGGCACCAGAAGTGCCGACCCTCTCCCCAGGGCCAGTTTATCCATCCCGTGTCATTTCTTGGCGGTCCCAGGGGGCCTGGGCCTGGCGAGGGCCCCTAGGAGCCGACCGCGGCCAGAAGCCTCTCCGAGCATGCCTGGGGGATGCCTGGGCCGCCCCGCACCGAGGACATTGCGCACATGGGCAAGGAGCTCGACCACTGGAAGCAGGAGCCGGCGGCACCCCTGCCGAAGTCCTGCGCGGCCTTCCCGTGCGCCTGCCGGGCACGCCGGGGGGGGCTCCAGGAGGGGGGAGGGCGATGAGGGAGGGTGAAAAGTCCAGGGGAGAGCAATACAGGTATTCAGGTGCGCCGACGATTTATGTTTACGAAAAGGCTTCCGGGCGAATGCGTGTAATGCCCGCCCCTGGGCTATTCGCCCCTATCGTCGCCGCCGAGGGGAGGGGGAGGGTGAAGAGGCAGCGGTTGAATTCAGCCAGGCTGAGATCGGCCAGGCTGAACTCGGCCAGCTCAACTCGGCCTGGCCGAGTTTCCCCTTGCCGAGTCTTTCCCTTGAGCGAGGAGAGGGGAAATGGGGAGGGGCAGGGAGGAGGGAGGTGCAATGCGAAACTGTGTGGCGCGCTCCAGAAAGGATCTCGCCTTCGAGGGATCGAAGGAATTGGCCTCTCTTCCTCGGCGGAAAGCGGTGGGAAGGCGGCGGAAGCCGGCGTAAGCAGAACGAGGCGGCCTCCGCAGGCGGAAGCCAGTGGAAGTTCGGCGAAGATCGGCTCAAGGATTCATCGGCCGCCTCCTTTCCGAGCTGGGCCGCAATTCTCAGCCCGACCGTGCGCAATGGCTTCCGTGCACCGTCTGTCAGTGCCGCCACAGTATCCATGAACGACTCTACCACCGAGTACGAGAACCAGAATGATGTTGCGATCACCGAGGGCAACCATGTCTTCGCCTACGGCCGTGGGCACCTTCGTCCTCGCAGCCGTGGCCAACTACGTCTTTGCCGCTATGGACAACCACGCCACGC